AGGTGATGGGGGGTAGAGGTGGGGTTAATGTGGGTGTATACAGGTGGGGTGAGGGGAGCATGTGGTGGTGGGTGTGTGCAAGTGGGGGTGCATATGGGTGTGTACAGGTGGGGGTGAGGGGTGCATGTGAGTGTGCGCAGGTGGGGGTGAGGGGTGCATGTGAGTGTGCGCAGGTGGGGGTGATGGGTGCATGTGGGTGTGTGCAGGTGGGGGTGATGGGTGCATGTGGGTGTGTGCAGGTGGGGGTGAGGGGAGCATGTGGGTGTGTGCAGGTGGGGGTGAGGGGTACATGTGGGTTTGTACAGGTGAGGGTGAGGGGTGCAGGTGGGGGTAAGCATGTGTGTGTATGGAAGATGTATTATCCATGCATGTTTTATCCCATTCTAATAGCTCTTCCCAGACTATTTCTTTTTTTTACAACAGCTGTTCCCACTGCCGCAAAATCTGGTTCTAGATTCTTAACTGCAACACTTGTTAGTAAATTGTGCCTGAAGCTAAAAAATTCTCCTGTATCTTATAAAAATTCTGCATAATGTTCAACGTCAGTCATGCTATTTTTATATGTATATCTTCCCATCATAATTTGTTTGGCAAGCTTCATTTTTGAAAAAACAAATTGAGCCTCTACTAATTTTTGCTATAATTCTGCAAAAAATAATCTTTCATCACAAAAATACCAAGATACATTTAATTTGAGATCTTAAATCTAATTGATGCTAGGATCATTTTTCCCCATGTTAAGCAATATTTTGGTAGGTCATGAAATTTTATCAAGGTTAGTTAGGTTCCACAGTTTTGACACGCGAGTGTAAAATGGAAGCCTGTAATTGTTTTACATGATGGTAGGATTGCTAGTGTCTTTTTTTGTCTCATAAACATGCAGGATAAAAGGTAAATTTTGCTACTTCTACTTACACTTATTTCCTATCTCTATGAAGAAGTGGAAAAGAATTCTTCCCCCATAAGCTATGCGTGTCGTAAGAGGCAACTAAAATGCCAGAAGCAAGGGGCTAGTAACCCCTTTTACTCTATGAATTACTGAACTTTAAAAAAACTTCTGTTTTTATTTTTAGGTCACCCTGCCTCGGAGGGATGCAGCTGGCTCATTAAAAAAACAAAAAAATAAAAATAAAAATAACTATAATCAAATTATGTGCTCAACCCATTTTGGTACGATTAAACAAGCTTGTACAGCCTAACCTTATTTGTTCACATATTCATATCTATAAACCCATAATCATTTTATTTCCTAATTTCACTGACTACATACATTTATATTCTATAATCAAATGGCTAAAAACAGTTCATGCAAAAAATTTTTTGCCAAATAAGCTAAACCAGTATATTTTGCCTCGATGGGAGATGACCAGTGTTAAAAAAAAAAAAAATTATATATATATATATATATATATTATATATATATATATATATATATTATATATATACATATATACATATTATACATATATATATACATACATATATATATACATACATATATATATACATACATATATATATACATACATATATATATACATACATATATATATACATACATATATATATACATACATATATATATACATACATACATACATACATAGTTTCTTTTACATGTAGAACACACAAAACAGGCCAAGTGTCTATTGGCAACATGTAACTAACACTCACAAACATCCCCCCTCATATTCATCCACACGCACACACACACAGACACATACATGTACTTGCACACACTCATATGTACACACACACGTACATGTGTCAATACGTGCATGTGCACACTTAAGATATAGTATTGTAATTATTCTGTTTTGTATATTTGCAGTTTTTGTTTTATAATCTTCAAATACTGTACCATTATAAAATTAGTATCAAATCTTGAAAGTGAAATAACAATCTATGAAAAATCACCCAGTCTTGTCTTTTGTCACAAGTCAAATAATGATGGATGAACACTAGTTTCTGATTATAAAAACAGGAAATAAGAGCTGAGGACCATGCATGACTATTCTTGATATAGAGGAAATAGGCCCAGGCTAATACGATTGGAGAGAGAGTTTTAAAAATTGCATATGGAGAGCCTAACGACCCAGTTAGGCAATTAACCATGACCCAGCACACACCAAGATAAACCAGGTCACAGATAGATTTACTCATTTTATGATGCAATGAGTAATTTTGAGCTCTACTTAAATTTCTGGGTCTTTCAGGTAACAGGTAAAATTGTGAGCCCACTGAAAAGTTATTAAGTCTCAAAATGGCTCACTACATCACAATTTGTTTACAGCTCCAACCTGCCACCACACAATGAATGATGCCTGCTATTGGTGCACCTCTAAGCAATGTAAACAAAACATGGGAATATAATTGTATTTTGATCATACTGCAGTCATGCATTTCAAATTTGTAGACAAAATTTTGCTTTTGTGTGCATGTAAAATAAGAGAAGTCGGTAATTTTAATCTTTACAGAAATCCTTTTAAAAACTGGTAGCAACACAAACTTGGATCCTTACAAATAATTTGAGAGTATCAGATCATGGAAAATGTTCACCTAGTGATGCACCAGAGCTGAATTATGCCACACAAGCAGACAACCTCTGGTGTCACTTTAGTATGGCTCCTTCTGTGTGTGATGTGGCCATTTCAAAGCCTGGGAGAACAATATTTCCTAGAGCTCATACTAGCTGACTGTGACACACATGAAGGATGCGGGGATAAGAGGGCTGCAACTAGCACTATACTATAGCATCTGAAGTATTTAAATGTTTAAAATACAGAAAATTGAACATTAACATGCAAAGGATCTGGGGCACGATATTTTATTTAATCTGAAGTGCTGTGACAAAATCTGAAAGTTTAACAAAATTCACATTAAAAATAAAATAAGAATGAACTGCTTTTAGAGTAAAATTACATTACTGGTATGTAGTTTAATGAAAAATAAACCAAGTTACTACTATAGAAAAGCAAAATATCTTTTTACTGCATATCCTGAAGAATATTAACAAATAATATAACTCACAAATTTTAGGAATCTGAAAAGGCAGCAATCTATCTTAAGATAAGTTTTTGTTTTTGCCACATGAAAGAACTCACAAAGTCTTCAGTAAAACTACTTTGCAAAAGTGTAAAGTGAGAAAATTACCTTTACTGAAACCCAGCTGAAGTTCTTTACTGTGGAATATTTTTTGTCGTACCACATAAGCTTTGCGTCAGACAGGAAGGAGAGCAAGCATGAGATCAATGATTGGAATTGATGGAGAGAGGGGAGAAGGATCAGGAGTTGGAGTGGCGGTGGAGGGTGGGGAGCGGGGTGAACATGGGGATGGTGGAGGAGGTGGGGGAGGAGAATTTCTGGATGAGAGGGACTCGGAGGAGGAGGATTTGGAAGAGGAGCGAGAGGCCGGGTCATGGGGTCACGTGCTTCAGCTGAGATTATGAAGGTCACTTAAGAATTCCTTTGGCGTCAAGATGTGAGTTGACCCTGCAAGATGGTAAAAAAGCAAGTAAATTACATACACAGTGTATAGGTATAGGTGTAATACATTTGATGTTTAATTCCACAAACACACAAGTATGGAGAGTTGGAAAAAATTCTGGTGTAATACAGCTCCTAGAACACTGTATTTAAAAACATAAAAGCTGCAAATATTATAATCCAAAATACAAATAGTAATGTCAAAATTTAAATAGATAATAAAATGTGTAGCAGTGAAAGTTAAGGACATCTTATGGATCTTCATCAGATAATCATTTAAGCCTGCAATAAGCAATTCAAGAATAGCACAGCACAAAGAAGTACATATTGGTAAGCCTAAAATATCTGCTAATGCTCAGCAGTTTTCCCACACAGTAAAGGCTTAAATATGTCAGTACAACAGTGCACGCAATCATTCACAGCCATCATTGTGTACTCCACAAACAATGTCACAAAAATGACTTGGCAATCATTCATTTCCTCTTAGCAAGCTGTTTTCCTTTATTCTTGCTCACTGCTACGTCTAATATATTTTCCGTATGTGTGCTGCACCATGTATTTTTCCTCACATTCACCTTTATCAGCCCAACTTCCTGGTAAACCTCTTCTTTGCTTGCCTTCTAACTCCTTGTATACACTTTTTCCCAACTTGCATTATACTTTTATTCTACTTGACCATACCACAATAGTCCACACTACTGAATCTTTAATCACATACTTTTGCACTCAACGTCTTTCCAAAATCTCCTTTTTACCATGTCTGCTCTCTTAATACCACAACTGCTCTTCAGATTCTCTTTCTACTGTTCTAGCTTAGTTCTTTATACTGTTATCAAGCAACTTACACCTGAACATTACAAGGTAACCACTACTTTTACTTGCAGCCTTTCAGTGTATCTTTCTTTTCCTATTTTTCTTTGCCCTTTCTTAATGCTACATTGCAAAGATAATTATATATTTTAACTATGAACAAACCCCCACACCATTTCATGTCCAGAGTACTTAAAATTTCCCTATCATAATTAAAATTTCCCTATCATAACAGGCCATATCAGCATTTCTTACCAAGGATGACCTCCCAGTTCTTGCCAGACTTGGTAACTTCATAAGCAGCACGCATCTCAGAATATGTGATGCCACCAACAACAAAAATTATGAGGCGGGGCATATTCTTGATGGCTGTTGCACTCTTGTCTTTATGCCAGTTGTACCGCACACTGGTGACAAAAAACACAATTTGTTGATTATTCCAACTGGTATTTGTTTCTGCTTCTTAAATCACATATGCATGTGTAAGGTAAATAGTAAAGGCATTGGGCTACGTGAAGTATAAGGAGTTAGAGGAAAGTAACAGTAAAGTCGGCAAACAAGTGTAGTACTGTGCATGTATACATGTAGGGTTTTGAAATAGGTCTTTCCATTCCTTGCTCAACCTCTGCACAGCTCCTAAGAGCTTACCAATTTCTTCATTCCTTATTTGCTGCACAATATTCACACTACACAGTGACAGATATATTTCCACATCCTCCATCCTGACCATGTTGCAACATTTTTAAACCAGTCTTCACACTCAAAATATTCAGCCCAACTACTTTCTGATGAAAACACTTTTTTATAATAATCAACAAGTTTAATTATTTCTAGACACCAAAACACACCTGCAACTTAATTTCTCTGATATTTCTGAAATCTGCTTCATGGCCTCTATTTACTTGTGGTCTAGAGGTGGATTTTGCCAGTCCACGTAAGTGCTTGAGTGCCAGTGTCAGTCTTCCTGCCAGTAGTCCATGATTTCTCCCTCACCCTTCTTACGAATGTATTCCCTGTGTGCCTATTTGCCTGCTACAAGCAAATCTCCATGTGGTTGACAAGGGTTTAGCAAGCACATTCAAGCAGGCTTGAAAGCAACACTCCAAGACAGCCAGGACAAGCTAAGGTAGCCTGCAGTTACAGCTGTCCTGATCCCCAGCATGTCTACGTAAATGTTCTAAAGTGTTCTTGCCGTACCAGTGTTTTCCTGTGTAGAGAAAGCAAAGCCATCAAGCCAGCCCAGGTAGTCCAAGCCAGTTCTGCCAAGGAAGCCAGTTTGAAATCTACTTTTAGTGTGTCTGCATTGTTTTGCATTGCCAGTAAAACACTGGTAAAAGCAAATCTTTACCTAGTGGCTTAGTTAAGAACAATTTAATGAGCAATGCATTACCTGGTAACTTCTTTGGCTACCAGAGATGGCTTTTCAAGTGGGACATGCCAGAGGTTCATCTATAAACATAGTAAGTTTCTGCTGATATGTTTGTGCACAGAGTGAAAATTCATCTGTCATTCCAAGACACATGTGCTAGAAGTGTTAAGTGCTGTAGGTTTGGAGTAACTATTTGCACGAGTATTGTGGGGGATTCCACTGACCCTTGACAGTGTGCAAGCATCAGTACCAATGTAGGCTTAATATGGCCGAGGCCTGGTGGGTGACCTTGAGAGTGGGACTGCAAGACCTGCATGCCACTTACACCCATATTGCCTGTCTAGTGAGGTGAATGTCCCTTCCTCGACCCTCCTATTCACCAGAATCCTTTAATTCATCGCCATTATTGTCATATGCAACAAGGGTGGGTTTAGCTGATCCAGGCTAAACAGCTCAAATCTTCCTACTCCAAGCAGTGTGAAACTGCTATGACAGCTACAAGTATAGGAGATAGGAGATGGTGTTGACGTCAATGATGGTGAAGGCAGATTTGAAACATATTTTAGTAAACAGGCTCAGAAAAAGAAACGTGGTTTCCAAAGAAAGCTTGCAGCTAGCAATAGAGGGGGGGAACACCCTCCCAAAGGTATCAGGCTAGATTTCCATAACAACATTGATCAAGAGGCCAAGTTTAAATGTTTTTCGAAGTTAGTGTAGACAACCCAGAGAAAACAGTCAAGCTTCTCCACAATGAGGATAACTACGTCTTTGTGACTAATGATCCAGCATTTGTAGACAAACTTCTCACTCATGAATATGCCACCATCAAGCTTCGAGCTGCCCCACCAAGGGCACCTAAAGTGCTTGTCATATACAACATCAATAAGCACTTGGATCCTAAATATCTGACGTCAGAGCAAGTTTCAAGCCCTCGTTGACTTCCCAACAATCTGATATTAGCCAAGTGGATTGGCCAGGGGACTCTGCCATGCCATATTCACTCCTGTGCAGTGCTCAACAGGTGCTATAACACAGCACTGTACATACCTCTTCAACATCAATGTTGTAAGTGTTAACGTTGGGGCCACACTGCCAGGAAATGCCCAGCTAAGTCACACTGGTGTGCAGTGTGTGCTAATGCTCATCCTTCTGAAAGGTGTTATGATATGATCAAACAGCAACAGACTGTTGCTAAACAATGTATCAATTGTAAGACCTCAGGAGTCACAGCAACTCATCTTGACTGCAGTGTGAAGGCTGCCTACATCGCAGCCAACCGCAGGGCTAGCACCTCACCCTGCACCCCCCATGATGACGCCCTAGTTCTACCAGATACCTCAAGCCTGAATACTGGCTCATGCCTGCCCTCAGACAATGGGGTTGAGCACTTCACCTGGGGAGCACATCAACAGAGGTCCATCATGTCTGCTGTCAATACCAGCCTAGCTCAGTCAGCTGTCAGTCAGCCACCAAACTCAGCTGACCGGGGCTTCACATCTCCAGACGTTTCAAGTCTTGCTCCTGTGGTATATAACCTGAAGTCACGCATAGGGGTATTGGAGAGAACAATTTCTTCTGAAACATAACTTAAGCAGCACAAGGAAATATGTGTACAGTGTACCAATAATAAGGCTGTCATTAATTCTGAAAGCGAGTGTAAGGCTGATGAACAAGGTAGTGGTGGAGTCCTAATTATGGTAATAACGAATCCAATAGCTGTGTCAATAACTATAGTGAGCATCATTGATGTTTGTGTTCCTGCACTACTGTAAGTGTTAACCTTTCTCTGTTCTGTATTTTATGTCCTTTTATTTTTTATTCATATTTCATTGAAAAAAATCACTCTTAGTGTAATTTTAACTTCTTTATAAAGTAAATTATTCCCTTTGCTCTGAGTAATTGTTTGCCTAAGTTGAAATTAAAAGTTAAAGTGTTTCATCAGTTCATTCTTAATATTTTCTTTACTGTTCTAAGCTGTATTTCCTTGTGTGTGAGATTTTTATTGAATTATTGACTCATTCTGCAATGACCCTTGTGCTGTGATTGGTCTTTCTTTCATAAATTTTTTATAGTGTTTTGTGCTGCAGTTCCTGATTAGTAGTTGTCACTTGCAATAGTACTAAAGTATAATTCAGTGCAATATTCTGTGATCCAGTTTTACATTTACTTGTGTTCTCAGTGCATAATACTTTAACCCTTTCAGGGTCCAGAGGCCAAATTTCAAAGTGTGCACCAGGGTCCAAGAATTTTCAAAAAATAATTTTGTTATTTTTTCTTATGAAATGGTAGAAAATCTTTTCTGAAGGTAATAAAACAAAAAGTATGAAATTTGATGGAAAATTTACGAAATTATGCTCTCCCGAATTTTGATGTGCCGGCGATATTTACACATCGGCGATTTTGCCAACTTTGACTCCCATTTTAGGTCAATTACAGTATTCTAGTCAACCAAATTCTTAGCTATTTCACTAGTATTACTTCTATTCTATCGATTAAGCACAAGAAATCACCAATTCAACTGTTTCAACTACAAAATAAAGTGACCGGAAATTGGTAATTTGGCCAATTTAATGCAAAGTTCAAAATATTCCATTTTCAAAATAGGGTCCAAAATAAACAATACAGGCATTCCTGGCACTAAACTAACATTTCCTCTGTTCATTAGTTACGTTTTCTGGCTTTACAAATGAATTCCATTTTGATTTTTTATTCACATAGTGAATTTTTATTCAAACCAAAAAATATAAGATTTACTGTTATGCAATACTGTAATAATTGTATAAATATCACCACTGGAGGTGATGTCCTGGTAGTCAGTAAATGTGGGGCTGATAGTGCTGTCCTGGGAGACAGCAATGGTGAAGCTGGACTTGCTGTCCTGGGAGACAGTAATGGTGAAGCTGGAGGTGCTGTCCTGGGAGACAGTAATGGTGAAGCTGGAGGTGCTGTCCTGGGAGACAGTAATGGTGAAGCTGGAGGTGCTGTCCTGGGAGACAGTAATGGTGAAGCTGGAGGTGCTGTCCTGGGAGACAGTAATGGTGAAGCTGGAGATTTTTCCAGGTAGTCGGGAATTATACGCAGGAAGGAATACATATAAATGACCTCATAGGGGACAGGAGCCGTAGTGGGGAAACAAGTGTAGTCGAAGATAAGATAAAACCAATATTGCAAACTAGAAATACCACAGGAAATAGCAAACAAGAGGACTCCACTAGCTATAGTGAGGATATATTACCAAAAATAACTGGTGGGAGCTCCATTGTTGGTGCTTGGGAGGATAGGAATAAGACAGGGAAACATGCACCAACAGGGAATAGTCACAGAAACCCAAGGCAAACAGAAACCAAGCCTGTGCACATACTATGCACTTGGTATCTGCAGACATGGGAAATCTGGAAAAACAGACGGGACGTGCAACTATGACCACCCTAGAAAATGCCATGCCCATATGACAACAGGAAAATGCAAACTCCCTTCCTGTAAGCTTTTTCACCCTGAAATGTGTACCTCTTCAGTACAGGAAAGACTGTGCAGTAACTTAAATTGCCAGGCACACCATCTAAAGGGTACAAAAAGATACAAAACATCCAGACCATGGGAAAACCTGGGTAGCCACAGCCACTCAAGAGGGAGAGGTTTTTTAGTGCAGGAAGGAAAAAAACTGGCAGGAAATGGCAGAAATCGTACACCAAATCCAGTCATTCCTGGAGTGGAACCACAGTCGATGGCCTCCACTCCGAACCAACAGATACAGATACTAATGCCGGAAAAAAAATCCCCCCCCAGTACCAACAATACCACCAGTCCGATGACATTCTTCTTTGCAAATATACAGGGTCTAAAGCCAGCAACAAACAACAAAATACCTTTCATCCGTGGACTGCTTGCAGAAGCAAAGGCAATGTTCGCGGCTTTCACTGAGACCCACATAAAGGATCACTTGGACAATGAAATATGGATCCAGGTTACAACTATACAGATGTGACAGAGTAAACAGGCAAAGGGGGGGGGGGGGGGGGGTTGGGCTGTACATTGCAG